AGCAATCTCATCACAACTGCACTGATCAACTTGAATGCAAGATGCAAGTCAATTCAATTCTGGGATTAACGCAAGACACGCTCAATTTCAAATCCGGCAACTGATGAGCTTCAAATCCCTTGTCCGCATAGATCTGGCGCAGAGCATGAAAAGCTTGATCCTGCAGATGTCGAGGACGAGTGCCTCGACGAATGAGCAGCACCTGGACAGCCATGAGGAAGTGGAGTAAATTGTGTCGTTGGCGCTGCGAAGACTTTTGAGCTGTGACGAATGCTCAGGCAGTTGCGGCGTAATGTCACGCAAGGTGGCATTGCAACGGTAGCCCAAAACCTTGTCATCATGCTGCGTTTCAAGCAACACAGGCGGACCGTAAAACTCCAAGGACATGAATTGCTGAACATATGGTGAAACTGGAAGCGGATGTTGAATCAATATGAATCGGTTGTCAACGTAGCGTTGGTGCCAAACAATACCGAAGCGATGGATGTTGACCCGCAAAGCGCGCATCGTGTGATGCCAGAAGTAGTCCTCCACAGTGGCTACCAAATTGCATAAGGGTGGTGCTGCTGGTGAACCCATAGCAACTCCACGTAGCTGGCGGAAAAGGAAGCCATTGACCTTGAAGTGGCTGTTATCCAACACAAACTCCAGGAGGATGTGGATGTCCTCGGCATGAACACTGCGTGGAACTTTGGTTTGTTTGCACCACTTGCCTTTGAATATGCGTCTGATTTGATCTGGAAAACCGACCAGCGTTGAGATTGGTAAAAACCGTGTTGATGCACATATCTTAGTAGTAGGACGTCACTAGCTTGCTTAGATCTGTGGGTCGGTATGGATGTGAAGAAACCCGAAAGGTCTTGAGACACCAATAGCAAGTCAGCATCAACGGGACTCATGTCCATGGCATCCCATAATTGTTGAACCAGGTCGTGAACAGACAGCTGTCCAGGAATCTCAGGAAAGGTGACCTTAGTGAGCTCGAAGATCAGCGCCCCAAATACTGTTAGCAGAATGGTAGCCCGCGTCCTGAAGAACGGGCTTTCTGCCACGCCTTGGACGATTTGGGAAGAATTCGTGCTGAAGGTCGTAGGCCCCAGGCGTGTCGTTGATGTATTCGTGGATGTATGGATGCTGCGAGCGCAGCACGAAAGCACCCTGCTGGCTGCCGACACAGCGCGAAGACCACGTCATCGCAAAAGGTCCTGTTGAGTAAAATCGATGAACTTTCGAAGGAAAATGGTCAGCCGGAGTGACTACCCAAGATTTTAGAAAACGAACCCAGTCATCAAAGGATTGGTTCGTCCAGTGATGCGTGCAGTTAATGGTGCTGTCATGTTGCATGAACATATCCAGCAACTGAATGTGCACATCCCGGTAGAACGCCTAATCTTTTTGATGAAGTAAGGATAGAATTTGCATGAGAGGCCGAAGAACTCCTTCATCGACGCGCGCGTGATGTCCTGGGGAAGGTCGGGGAAGACCCGTTGAAACTGCTGATTGATCACCAGGTGTTCGTGCGCGACGACGCGGTCTCCCCGAAGAACACCACAACAGGCACAGGGGAGAATATCAAGCGGAATCCATCGCCGTTGCCAGTGTCGATAGTTGAACAGTTTGTCACCCAATGTAGTGGTGCGCGTCTCAATGATGCGGACACGTGGTAGATGGAGTGGAGCGAACCCACTGGTGAAACCAGAGACCAGGCTCCTTCAGTCCGGTACACATAGAGGAGGTAGCATGAGCGACCTTGTGCGAGGAGGAAGGGAGTGTGAACGAAAGCGAATAGCAGACTGGAGCAGTTTGCAAGCTGTTGCTCGAAAAGGCTCAGACATGAAAAGGGTTAGTCTGAGCAAGTAGTAGAGCTGCGCAACTGGAAAAGCTGCAGATCTCAATTCTCTGAGAGCTTGATAGGAGGCTCCGGTGTTGGACCCGAGCCGATACAGCATTTCATATTGATGTTGGACATCTCGTCGAGGATCCTGATGAACTTTGCGAGGAAGAAGAGGGTGTATAGTCGTCGTTGAAGGCGCTTGAGCAAAGTCAGAGAAGTGGGAGCACGTTGACGAAAGTCCGTGAGGTGTTCGTGAAATCCCAACCGGGCTAGTATACGATGTATCCGTGGTGCGTTGAGTTGCGGCCTAAGCGTGTACTGCCAAGTGCTTTCAATTGCCCATAGCTGTGATGCAGGAGACACCAGCTCAACCGGCAACGGCGAGAACAGCCGATAAGAGTAATGAAACGCTGGCTCAAAATAGGCAGGTTGAGAACGTAGTAGTTGTTGAAACTTGCGAAACCTAGAGTGTTCACGTTGGAGAACACTCTTGGCGGTGGCTCCCACATAGATCGGAGAATGACAAGGAGAAACTCGAACATAAGCAGCAGGTTGAGAGTAACTGATCGGATCAGTGGCGGATCCCCGCAGATCACGAATTTTTCAGATCAGACACATATACTCGGAGTACAAACTCTGCACCAGCAAGTTGATTTTGTAGAATAAGAGCATTTCCATGATATCCGGAAAATAGCCAACAGTGAGGACTGCAGCCAGTTGAAGAAGGGTGAGCAGCACGTAGCAGGAAAGGCGTGCCTTGTAGAGCATAAGAGTGTGTGATCGAGGGTGAGATTTGTGTCCAAAATCGCGTTCATGAAGGTCAAGAACCATACGTACCAAAATCAGACGACGATGCCACTTCATGCGCAGTGAATCGGCGTAGTACGTCAAGTTCGTGATCAGGTGGTAGAGGAACAGGAGCGTCAGGGTGTACATACCGCCACAGTGTATAAATAAATTCAAATCTGACAAGAGCCGAAACAACATGACTCCAATCGACATGCGCAAGCAACACACCCGATTCCTCAAACTCTTTATCCATTTCATCAGACCCTTGAGAACAGCTGCTGTGTGGCACTGACTACACATATAATGCCAAGACATGATTCGCACAGACTGATCAAGCACGCACGCACGAGAAAGCCTGGACTGCACTGTTTTCCACTGAACCGTTCCTGACGTCCAAAGCACTCACAGAGTCAAACTCAGACTGGTTCCTCAATTGCCCGCTGCGGACGTGTTCGATGGCTGAACAAGTTTGGTAAGCAGTCGAGCTCCAACAATCAACACTGCGAGTGGCTTGTCATGGAGTTTAGCGGTGTAGATCGGCTCGGCCCCCCACATGGCTGACAGGGCTTCCGCCTCACCTTTGGGATCTTGTTGTAGGTCTGGAAAAAGTGGTTGACCTTGGACTCAAACTCTTTCTTGGTGAGCGGTGATTCACGGTCCGTCAATCTCGGGATGAACCAGTTGACCAAGGGCGCCATCGTAGAGCTAGAAGGGGCACTGTGACGTAGCGGTCGTGTAAAGGGTGGGTTCCACGTGTAGTAGTCAATCAACTCCAATGGTGAGCTGGCTTGATCAAGATGATCAATCCTTGGTCGCTTGTGCGTCTCCCCACGCAGCGAGGCCAGGATTAGCGAAGATGGTGTCGTGTAGGATTGGCCATCCTTGGCTGCGGCAGTGACGGTTGTTGGCAATGAGGATGACGACGGAGGCGAGGTGTTCATAGGCTTGGTCAATGACATAGGAGTGGTTTCTATAGATGCGTCGGTCGGTTTGTTCTGCGAGTCAAGCTGGGCTTTGAGCACGGTGTTGTCACGGGTGAGCGCTTGTACTTGCGCAAGAAGACCATTGTCAGGATTGATCGGTTGGTATTCCTGCTGGGCACGGGAAAGCGCATCAATGATCTTCAAGGAGAGATGCTCATGGACTTTGGTTCGTTGACCAAAATCATTGATGTCACAACCAAGGAAAGCGGCATCCTTTTCAAGCTGAATGTCCACGGAGCGTCCTGACCGTAATGTTTTGGATGGTGCCCCAGAGTAATGCTTCTGCTCTGGATCGGAATCCTTCCCAAGTGACCCGTGACTCATGGGCCGGAGGAGCCAATTGGCGAGTCCACGGTGTATGACCTGGATTAGCTTGATGTCCTCCAAGCGCAGGCCGCCGATGCCAATGGACTGGGTATAGGGTCGGAAGCGAAAACTGGTACACCTCACGTGTGTCGCGGAAACCTGGGAGCTGTTCCATTCTGCTGGTTCTGCGAAGTGCGTGTTCATCGATGAAGCAGCCAAAGTGGTGGATTGACGTGGAACAGTTCCAGCTTGATATGGGACTGCCGTCCTCGGTGGCAACGGTGTCGTCGATGTCTGTGAGATCACCGGCCGGAGAGGGACGTGATGACGTAGTACCGGCGGGGGTGTTGGGGAAAAGACTGGAGTGTAGGGGCTGACGCTCACAAGGTTTTCCATGTGAGGCAGCGAGTACTGAGGATGCCCATGTGGAGTGTGCTGGTAGTTCGGCGGAAGGGAGACTCCATGGGGTTGATGATGAAGAGGCCACACGATGGGTGCATCCGAGGGTCCCCCGAGACGGGGTAAGCACACTTAAACTCCCGAAGAAGGTTGCTCATCTTCGAGTACAACTTTCGAGTACGACTTTCGGCTCGCATCACACTCAGATTCCCTGCTTTAAAAAGGGGAAAACGAAACCAACAGCGCTTCACGGGAGGGCCAAAAGGACTTTAAATCACCTCGAGTCAGGGCTCAAAGTAGGTACGTCGAGGTGATCAGCCTCGATATCACAGGACAAGTGCGGCTTCGTTGGATGCCGACCGCACAGGTCCCCGGCATCCCCCTGCTACGACTTGTGACATGGTTCCAGGGTAAATCTGGAACTCGGCACACACACACACACCCACCCACCCACCCACGCACGCACGCACGCACGCACGCACGCACGCACGCAGACACACAGACACACAGACACGCAGACACACAAACACACAAACACACAAACACACACAAACAAAACCAACGAACAAACAAACAAACAAACATTCAAACACAACAACACACAGAACACGCTTGTTTTGCCAGACTGATGGCCGCAGCGCATGGCCTGTCCGCGGCGTGGTGAACCAAAACCGTTGGTGAGAAAGTGATCATTTCTCCACGGACACCAACTTCAGCTTGGGGAAAGCGATCACATCACCTGGACAAGTACACAGCTTCATGACAAAGCAAACTCAATGCGGGGCACCTCTGCTTCCGGAACCAGTCACATACAGCTCGTCACAAAGCCGCTCCTGTGAGCATCGAATCAAGAAGCGAACACGAACCCGTTACAAATCACCAGGCGCATGAGAACTTCTGATCCAGCAATCCCTTCCACCTAGCTTGCAGCAAAGTAAGGCAGTACAAGCGCACCACAGGGCGCTCATTCCAAAAATGTTGCTCGCACATAGTCAGGAAAAAGCACTTGACGCTTGACCCCCGTCCATGGCATCTCCGCCACGGTCGGCCAGGATGAGACCGACAACCTTTGTGCCATACTCGGCCTGCGCTTTCTTGATGGAACTTGCGTCCGTGTACCTTGGCTTACTTTGCGCAGTAAAACATATGCCATACAATTACGAGAAAACATGATCCGCTTTGTCGCACCCAACTTTGTCGCGCTCCAAGCAACCAAATCTGAGACAAGCCACAAATCAAGTTCGCCATCGGTCACGATCAACAAATCCTCAGAAGGCCCATTCAATCATGTTCATCTCATCATTGCCCTCTGACTCTCAGCCTCCAGAGACTTGCAGCCGTTGCCACGACTACAAAACACTTCCGCCGCGCAAGCATGCAGCTCAGGCGCTGCATTCCGCCAAGCCTCCTGTTCAAGCCTCCGCGCAGTTTCTGCCAAAGCGTCTTCAAGGTACGTCCCTCCGGCAAAGCTTCTGCGCAGGAAATCCAGGACGTTCCTTCCGTCGCAAGTCAAAGTCAAAACCTGGCGCCTGAATTGCTCATTTGCTCTCCTCATGCCAGCTTCGTTCATGTCGAGCTCCATCTCTTGCCTGTCTTGGATTTTGTTATATAATTTATATCGCGCGTCCATGCAAACGGCAGCCACATGTGTGACAATTGAGTCAATCGGCACGCACTGACAAACAAGACTGAAGCCAAGGCACAAGTCACCCATACCAGAGAAAGCATACAAATAGCAAGGACGGCGCTGTCGATGCGCTTGCCTGCGGCCCAGTGCAGCAGGCAAGCGACAACTGCCTTTCGCCGCCTCACGCACTCCACTACAAGCGCTTTGCTTAACACCTCTCGCTGGCCGCTCATGCTCCCGCTTGTATCCAAGCACCTGCGTCTCGGATTTCCATAAAGGTCAGGTGATGTGGAAGCCCGACGAACATTCACACATACGGATTGCTTGCCAAGGGCGCACAATGAGAGGGCCCGCTTTTCCCACGGGCCGCATTTCGAACCTGCGGCGAGGCCAAGGATGAGAGTCACAATAGTCACACAAGGCTCGCAAGCAAGCGCAAGGCCTGCCAGACATCTTGGACTCATCTTCCAGCCAAGCGCTGCGATCGTAGCATAGAAGTGATTGCTCGATGCGCCGCGCATGGTGAAGATTACGCAGCCTTAGAGTCTGCGAAGCAAGCGATGACGAACGAGCAATGCACAACTTTGTTTTGCTACTTGTGCCAAGGCGTACCAACTTAAACCAGGAAGCATCGGCAACTTGGCAGCAAGCAGTTGCGCCTCACTAGGAAGCATTGTGTCCCAGGTTCCTTAGAGGTGTGGCAGAAGCATCCCAGGGTACGACAGCAATAAGCCAATGAAAGCCAATAAACCGATACATGCAACGGCATACAAACGCTTGCAAACACGTTCTCAGGCACCAGAGAGACAAACGCCATTTGCTTCTGCAGGAGCTGCTGGAGAACGAATGACTCCGGCTTGTCCGCCCTCTTTCAACACTTCCTGAGCTGTCAGTACTTGGCAAATGTGTTGGCCCTGTGTTCGCCCCTCTCACACCTACACACCACACACATGCTTCAGGATTCCTCCGGGAGCTTCTGAAGAGGTCCTCGCACTGCACTCCGCCGGCCCAGGTTGCGCACCAGCTCCCGCAGCTCCGGGCTGCGACGCAGGACCTTCGCCAGAGCCTGCAGCTCCCCCATCTGGCCCCGCAGCGTCTCGTGCCATTGGCTGCCATCCTGCGAGAAGCCTTCAACCATGGCAGGCCCAGCTCCCGAGCCAAATGCCGCTTCGGCGGCTTTCATGGCGCCAGCTGCCGCACCCCACTTCTCTGCAAGCTGCTCCAGAAGCTTCTCAACACGCGCTTTGCGGTCATCTTCAGATTCCACTCCCTCAGTTTGTTGGCCTTCGCCGTTGCTTTGCGCCTGCCCTTCACTTCCCTCGTCGCCGTCTTGTTCTTCGTCATTTTGCTCTTCCTGCTCCTGGGAGTAGAACTCCTCAACTATCTCTAGCAGACTTGCCAGCAAAGGATCCGCCAGTTTTTGATATTTCCGCACCAACGGTGGCAAACCTTTGTCAAGCAGCAGCTGCTGCCATCCAGATCGAAGTGTATTGTCTACCGGCCAGTTCGCTCCCTCCTCGTCTTTCCACGTGCGCCCCTTCGACAATGTCTCCTTCCAAGATGCCACACCACGAGCTGCCCTTGCCAGGCTGCTGACACCTTTTTCCTAAGAATGATCAGAAAACAAATCCCAAACATCAATTCGCCTCGAATGTTACATGTGTTCAACACATGTAGCACAAAAGCAACAATGTAAGCAGCCAAACATGCAATGCGCACCGACATGACTTGATGGCACGCCATGACGTGATATGACATGACATGATGTTGCTTTGCACTGTCTTCTGATACCCCTACGTGGTATCTACCTGTCTGCCTAGCTCCCATCTTCTATCCACCAATCTACCCTATCTACCATCCACCTATCTACCTATCTGCGCATGTGCCTATCTCCCTATCTTCCCACCCTCCTATCCACCGACTAACTTGCCGGCTCTACATACGTACCAAGCTCACATGCAGGGAAGGAGGGAGGGAGGGAGGGAGGGAAGGAAGAAAGGAAACAAGGAAGAAACGGCCTGCAAAGAAATTGCAAAACCACACACCGCTGCCTGCAGAAGCACGCGCCGCTGCAGAGGGGAAGCAAAAGCGATCTGGCATGCAAAAGCAAGCGCCGCTGCAGGGCAGAAGCAGAAGGGCCAACACGCCGGAGAGACCGCGCCCGCGCATGCAAAAACACGCGCCGCTAGCAACGTCAGAGGGGTGGCGCCCGCGCACGCACAACCAACACCAACACCAACACCAACACCAACACCAACACCAGCACCAGCACCAGCAACAACAACAACAACAACAACAACAACAACAACAACAACAACAACAACAACAACAACAACAACAACAACAACAACAACAACAACAACAATCAAGGGGCAGCAGACAGGGCCAACATGCCAGAGACGCAGCGCCCGCGCGTGAAAAGCATGCGCCGCTGCAAATGAAGAGGCAAGGCCAGCGGGACATCTGAAAGCAGTCTGCCACAGGTGCAAGGGCCCATGCTGCCACAGAGGGAAATGCGAAAAAAAAAAAGAATGGACAGAAGCCACAGGGGCTCCGCTCGCACACCAAGGAAGGTGTGCCGTTAAGGGGGTTGCAAGCGCGGCAATCCGCTCGCCGGGCGGCCCTGAGCCTCACAGCCGTATGGCTGCCCTGTGACCGGGCTCGGGGGTACCATGCTTACATAAGGTTCGTGTACATGATACTACAATGCAATTCAATTCATTACGTAACAGTACGTTATGTTACATGCCATTCAGACACATGGCATTATGTTGTTCTACCCTTTCTATACTACATGTTTATGTATAGTATGTACCATGTGACATGTAGCACGCATAGCGTACAACTGTATAAGCGCTTGACCCTTCTCATCCCGCGCAACAGCAGGTGACCCCACTGCACAAACAGGAACACAGCAAGCTCCACAAACTCGCGCACGTCTGAATGTCAGTGCGCACTACATGCAGAACATGCATTCCGCAACAACATACATATATGATACATCCAACACATAATCATGCCTGACATGAATACATATGTCTTGACATGTTACGTACATTGAATGTTAGGTTCATCGCATAAATTTACACTACGTTAACTCACATCATGCTACATTGCGCTACATTATTCAAAAACTCCTCCTACTGACCCCAGACCAAACCCCAAAGGAAAAATATATGACAGCGAAACCATATTTACGGTTTATTTACCCCTACTTTGCCTTCTTCTTGGCATCCTTAAGGGGCATGTTCCAGGGGTCTCGTGGTGCAACCTTTGAACTGTATTACATTGGGTGCGAATTTATTTTGGGATTTGTTTTTGTTCTTGTTTGTTTGCTTTTTCTTTGATCTTATTCTTTTTTCGTCCGGGCCAGTAAAATGTTGTATTTTCCAGCATTTTCTCGCGAAATTGACGCATTTTACACCAGCATCGTTTTCAACATCCCCCGCATGTCCGACCAACATCCCTAGCATCACCCACAAATCGTGGGGAACAAAATAGAACAAGTAGCTGGCGGGTTGACGGGGTCAAAAAATGATGATTCAAATAGGAGGGCATTTCAGTCCCTGAAAAAAATAGGAGCGGAGAGGTTGGCTGCCCCCCCCCATGATGTTCGCAGAAGTGATGATTCGAATAGGGGTGCAATTCAATCTCTGCAAACAGTCTAAAACGTAGCGGGCGGGTCTGCCCGTGATGTCGGAAGAAGTGATGATTCAAGTAGGGGTGCAATGATTCAAGAAAGGGTGCGACAGAATTTAAAAGGCAGTGGGAGGGTTGGCGAGGGTGGCTTCCCCCTACATGCGGCATACATGGATTGCACAGATTGCCTAAAATGTTGTATTTTGCACCATTTTCTCGCGAAAATGGACGCTCGAAAAGGTGATGATTTAAATAGGGGTGCAATTCAATCCCTGCAAGAAATCTAAAGTAGCGGGGGGTTGGGGGCCCCCCCATGATGTTTGAAGAAGTGTTGGTTCAAGTAGGAGTGCAATTACTCTGCAAACAATCTAAACAATCTAAACAGTGGCGGGTGGGTTGGGGGGGGGGCTTCCCCCCCATGATGTTCGAAGAAGTGATGATTCAAATAGATGATGCATGAAAGCAAAAAAGTGTGAAAGCAGAGGGTGCGAAAAGCCAAAGCCCCCAAAAGCCGCATAAACCAGCGAAAAGCCGCAAAAGCCAGGAACTGGGAATGCAGAGGATGCGAAAAGCCAAAGCCAAAAAGCCGCATAAAGGCTTCCAGACCTTGTTGGTCGCTTTTCCTGCTTTTGGCGTTCTCAGGTTGCTTTTCCTCTTTTTGGGGGGTCACGGGTTTAGGTCTGGGATTTAGGTTTAGGCTTTAGGTTTAGGGTTTAGGTTTAGGGTTTTTAGGTTTAGGGTTTTTAGGTTTAGGTTTTCAGGTTTAGGAACTAGGTTTAGGGTTTGGGTTTATGGTTTTTAGGTTTAGGATTTAGGTTTAGGGTTTAGGCTTAGGGTTTTTAGGTATAGAAGTTTTAGGTTTAGGCTTTGGGTTTCGGATTTAGGTTTAGGATTTAGGTTTAGGGTTTTGAGGTCTAGGATTTAGGTTGAAGACTTAGGTTTAGGAATTTGGTTTAGGATTTAGGCTTAGGGTTTTTAGGTTTAAGGTTTTTAGGTTTAGGGTTTGGGTTTAGGATTTTTAGGTTTACGGTGTATAGGTTTAAGGTTTTTAGGTTTAGGATTGTTAGGTTTAGGAATTAGGTTTAGGGTTTGGGTTTAGGGTTTTGAGGCTTTACGGTTTATAGGTTTAAGGTTTTTTAGGTTTAGGGTTTAGGTTTAGGATTTAGGCTTAGGGTTGTTAGGTTTAGGTTTTGGTTTAGGATTTAGGTTTTGGCTTTTGGCTTTGGCTGTTGCATTTGGTTTTTGGCTTTTGGTTTTGGCTTTTGGTTTTGGCTTTTGGCTTTGGGCTTTGGTTTTTTTGCTTTTAGGGTTCCTGCCGCCGGGATGTCTTTTAAGGTTCCTGCTGGCGCCTTTCATCCTGCTGGCGAGATTCCTTTTAGGGTTCCTGCTGGGGGGATGTCTTTTCGGGCTCCTGCTGACGGGGCGCCGTTTAGGGTTCTTGCTGGCGGGTCTTTTAGGGTTCCTGGGTCACGGATTTAGGTCTAGGATTTAGGCTCAGGATTTAGGTTCGGTGTATTTAGGATTTAGGCTTAAGGTTTTTAGATTTAAGAGTTTAGGTTTAGGGTTAGGCTTAGGATTTTAGGTTTAGGATTTAGGTGTATGGTTTTTAGGTTTAGGATTCAGGACACATTTTGGCTCAAATGTAGAGGAGTTCGCATTTGGAGCTCCAAAAGCGACATTTTGGAGCCGGCCATGGAAATGGCAAGTCTTTGCTAGAGTTTATATCAAAAATGATACATTTTGGCTCCGTTCTTTACTAGAGTTTCTGTGAAAAAGACACAGTTTTAGAGAATTTGTAATTTGGACCTCCAAAAGCGAAATTTTCGGGCTGGCCATGGAAATTGCCGCTGAGTTTATATGGAAATGACGCATTTTAATTCAAATGGAAAGAATTTGCAATTTGGAGCTCCAAATGCTAGAAAAAATCTTCAGAAGGAGCTTTATACGGAGCTTCGCAATGAGCCCTCGAAGTAGCCTTGTGGAGCCTTAAGAAAAAGCCTTATCAGAAGCCTTCAATGCTTGTCTGTGCTCATCAGTGCCCCGTCGAGCGCTCCGTCTAGCGCTTGTCTAGAGCTTTGTCTAGTGCTCATTTGGCGCTCGTCTAGCGCTCATCTACCGCTCGTCCAGTGCTCGTCTTGTGCTCCGTCTAGTGCTCTGTCTAGTGCTCTTCTTTCCCCGGAAATTTTCCAGAAATTTCCGGGCGCTCTCCCCATTCCGGCGCTCGTCCCGTGCTCGTCTAGCGCTTGTCTGGCGCTCGTTCCCGTGCTCGTCTAGCGCTTGTCTAGCGCTCGTCCAGTGGTCGTCTGGTGCTCTGTCTAGCGCTTGTCTAGTGCTCGTCCAGTGCTTGTCTAGTGCTCGTGCAGCGCTCATCTAGTGCTCGTCTACAGCTCGTCTAGCGCTCGCCTACTGCCCGTATAGTGCTCGTCTGGCGCTCGTCTAGTGCCCTAGCGCTTGTTTATCCCCGGAAATGTTCCAGAAATTTCCGGGGGTGGCTTGCGCCCTCCCTAATGCTCTTCTGGCGCGCGTCTAGTGCTCTCTAGTGCTCGTCTAGCGCTCGTCTAGTGCTCCAAGCGCTCTTCTATCCCCAGAAATTTTCCGGAATTTTCCGGGGGCCGGGGCAGCTCGCCAGTGGACCCCTCCAAGTATCCGGGCAAAAGCAGCCCGCTAATGGGCTGCATCAAGTGTGCCGCCGAAAGCAGCTTGCAAGTGGATCCCGCAAAGCATCTCACGCTTGTCTTAGAAGCTACAAACAAGCAAAGTAATGTGGATTTAGGCTTAGGGTTTTTAGATATAGGAGTTTAGGTTTAGGGTTTAGGTTTCGGATTTAGGCTTAGGATTTTAGGTTTAGGATTTAGGTTTATTGTTTTTAGGTTTAGGATTCACGCCACATTTTGGCTCAAATGTAAAGAAGTTCCCATTTGGAGCTCCAAAAGCGACATTTTGGAGCCGGCAATGGAATGGCAAGTC